AGCTCTCCAGCCACCCTGCCCCACACCTGTATGTTGCATGGGGTTGTTGTGACTTTTGACTTGTTCTGTCCTGGAAGAAAGAGTTGTTGACCACTAACCCATCCTATGTAAATGTTAAATAGGATTATTGATAGTAAAAAAATAAAAGCATTTGTCTAATTCTCTCTGTGTGCTAGATATTCACACATGTTGCCCTGTTTCAGGTTTTCTCATGTCACAAGGTATAAATGCAAGTAATAGAGTATAATGATTTTACATTTTACTGAAACAAAATGTTATTTTACATTTATTTGTTTTAATTTACATTCCACAGGGAACTACAGCCAGAATCAACAAAATATGCTATATAAGTAGGTATCACTAAAAGCTAAAAACTGGCATAAAATTAGCTGAACGTTTCTTGGAGAGCAAATGGAATAGTTAAAATTTTCATGACATTTGCTCTTGATTAATTATGCTTCACTTAATAAATAAATTTAGCTAATTATGGTATATGGCATGTCCTATGTCCTTATTTACCAATTTTATAATCAAAAAGACTAGAAACCCCTGGAATGCAACTGATAATTGAACTTTACCATTTTTAATTTGTTACAAATACCATTAAAAATAGAAATATAAGTGCTACAAGTTAATGAGGTTTTAGTGAAAGGCATGTTGCCATTCAAATAGATGAGACAGCAATTTAAACCCAAAGGAGCTAAACAGCAATTTATTTTTATTGTGTAGGATGCTCTTTTCCTCTAAATCCTTGCAGAAAGACTTGCTGGCTATCCGTGAATGCATGGAAGGTGATAGGTTTTCTTCAGCTCTTTAAAAGCACTGTGGAATACCAAGATCACAACAACAGTAAGTTCTCTGGGCATGCTCCCTGTTTTCCTTGGAGGTGGCAAGTATTTGGGGATAAGAAATGGCAAGTGAATGTTGCAAGTCCGTTCACTTTTGCGCTGGCCTAACAAAGTCAAGGGAAGGCTTGAGGACTGGCTCCGGGAGCGGGTGAATATTGATCATGCGGTGGGTTCTCTACAGCAGGAGGCTGTGGAGTGTCATTAATCATGTAATTACAGCTGTAATCATGAAATTACATCTGTAATAATTTCATTACAGATGTAGCCAAAATCTCAGCCAAGAGGTGCAATTCAAAGAATGAATAATTAAAATCTTGATAGTTTTTTCCTTTTTTTTTTTTTTTTTTTTTCAATTATTCACTGTACCTGGATTTTGAGTTTTCATTTAACTGGCCAATGCATTCTCTCCAGAGAGGTTAGTAGCTCAACCTGTTTTAAAAAGAAGAAAAAAGAAATAGATGAAGAGCAAGAAGAGCATCAGTCTATAAAATGAAATTCCTGAAGTCTGTTTGCTCTGAAGTCTGTTCAGGGGATCTTTATTTTGTCAGTAATATAAACATGCTATTCGTGCTTTTAAATAAAATTGCACATTTTTTAAAGTCTTCTTTTACTTCAAAAGCAGGTTTACTATAATACTATCAGATCATCTTCCAGCAGAGGTGTGCTATATAGCTTACTCTGAGCCTAGTAGATCTGATAGCATTAGACAGTGTCTAAGCTGAGAGCTACCTCACCGTTTGCAATATCTTAACTAAAGTCAAGACATTTCATAGTGGGAAGGGCTTCACCACAGTTACTTGTTTTAAAATAGTCCACTGTGGTGTTATATATGTTCATGATATATGTTCATTGACCTGATACACAGCAGTTTCCTTTTTGAGTATGACTCTTCTGCCAACAGCAGCTGTGAATCCCTTGGTGCCTTCCTTAGGCAGATCGGGCAATTTAGGAGCAAGTCGAGGCTTAGCTGCTTCCAGCCTAATCTCTGACACCAGAAGTGCAGGACAAGATTTTTTAGGACACGAAACTTACTGAGCCTTTAGGGGCAAGTTTCTTTTACAAGCAAAATCTTCTGTTGCATGTCTTGCTTAGGGTAATTCAAAAACTGTTTTTCTCCCCTCTATTTCTTGTCTGAAATTGGAAAAGGTAAATCTTTTTATAGTTATGTCAAAATGTCTGTCACACAGGGTTGGGGCTGGAGACTTCTGCCCACAGGAATTTAGAATCTAAGAATAACCAAAGAGACAACTGGGGGATATAATCCGAAAAAGAGGAGTAACAGGAAGAAATAATAAAATGCTGGAAAATAGTCACCTAGCCATTCAAGTGAGAGGTGGCAACAGGCAAGAGCAGATCATGAAGCACTGAGAAAAATGAAGGCAAGCAGAAAATGATGCACATGTTTGACTGCAAGCTGTGATAGTTTCAAATCCTCTTAACTTTTATTCTTTGAAAGAATTATGTTGTAGAACATTAGGGTTAAAGCATCCATCTTACATGCATAATGTTACAGTACTTCAGAAAAGTTGCATTTTAACCTGCTACAGTGTTTTCTGTGCTTTTTAAATTGTGGTAACTGCAGAATCCAAATGATATATTTAAAGGTCGAAGCCTCCTGAGAATACTTCTGATTCTCTCTTTCCTTTTGTGTGTCAGCTTGCTGAAATTTTCTCCCTCAGTGGCTACTGCTATGCTTAATTAGGAAGCAGATTGTAAGAGAAACTGCTTCTTCACCAACTGTGACCAGCAGGTATTGACAAGAAAACTATGTAAACTCTACAAATGACTGCTGGTGTGCTTAAAGAAGCAGAAAAATATGTTCACCCCGATGTCCCTGGGGTGTTGAGCTTTGTATGTTAGACAGCAGCTTTTACAGGAGATGTGAGAACAGTGCTTGTGAGCCTGCAAAAATCCATAGATAATGCTCCAGCTGTTTAGAGAGAGGGAGGGGGGAAAGCACAAGAAAAAGCACTATCCATTTATTGCTGTAGTGTTGTCAATATTTAATTCTGTAGGTTCTTTTTTTTTTTCTTTTTCCTAATGGATACAGAAACAAAAATTGCTGTTCATTTTTTCAGGTTTCCAAAGACTTTTTGATCTAGAGGTTTGGAGCCTTTTTCTTCCAGATATCAGTACTAAAGCCTTAAGGCAGGCATTTTCTTGTAACAGCAAGGTTTTACTCTCTCTGCCACCATGAAAATTTTAATTGGTCTACTAAAAGGGCCTTGTAAGCTGCTAAAAAAAATATATGGTAGAAGCCTTGTTTAATGTGTATTAAATTCTGGAAAGAATTGTTGCTTTTGCAAATAAAATTGTTTGTTATGTTGCTAGCACAGAATTCTACATCTTATTTACAGACACAAGCAACTCAAATCCCCAAATCATACTTACAAATCAACTTTTATATTGACCCTTCAATGAAGTTAGGTTGTAGACAAGTTCACGGAGTCATAATTTGTGAAGATGCTAATTTGTATATCATCAGATCCGATAACTCCAGTGGAAGCAGTAGCCCTGCAAATCCTTCACACGACTAATTCATACTAAGAAGAAGACCAGATTTAGGGGGTGTATGTGTTATATGTATAGATGAAAACATCTCAATATTTCTTTATAACAATTTCATGAGAGTAAGAATCAAATAGCTCTTTAGCACAAAGAAATGAGGCTGTAGGTGGAGAGTGCAATATATTTGTACCTTAATAATGATATTCTCTCTAAATTACTAATTTAATGGCATTTGTGATTAGTTATGCAAGATTGCTCTATGTAAAATTCAGAAGCAACGTACATTTCATATACTTCTTCACAGAGGTATTCACATGCCTGAGTATTACCTGTATTAATTCAAAAGTGCCATGTTAGATTAAAGCTGACAAGGAATCTTGCAGGCCAGTGTCAATACGATCTTTCTGCAACACTGATTTATGAGTATGTGCAATTTGTAAAAATGTTTTTTTGTAGATCACCTATGGAAGCTGTGGAATTTCCCTCAGTAGAGTTTTTTAAAAATCAGGTTATACAAACATCTGTCAGGAATGGTGACAATATTGTTGATCCTGCCTGGGGGTAGAGGCACAGAATAGATGACCTCTGGAGGTCACTTCTAGACCTATTTTCTATGATTCTGCATTGTGCATTCCACGTACTGCATTGCATTCCACATACTGCTGCTATGTATTTAAAAGTTTTCCAAGTATAAATGTTTATTTGTACTATTTTATCCAATCTTTATTTCTTACCCTTTTGTGATTCAATCATATAACTAGTAAGAAAAGGAGACTAGTTCCTAATTAATTATGGAAACTTGAAATGCGACTTAATTGCATCATGCATTTTAAGTTCTACCCCTAGACTGAAAGAATAGAGTGGACTGGAGAGATAAAAGGGAAAGAGCATAGCTCAAAACTTGAAACTTTACTGAATCAGCCCTTCCTATTTTGGATGATGGGACCCCACACTAATTTTACTGATTTATGATTTTTTAAAGTCAGTATTAATATTTTCATCATTGAACTATATATTTACTGGTAAGTTGTGGAGGATGCATTTTAAAGGTACTGTATAGTCATGGACGGTAAGTACTTAGGCAACTGACCCATTTTTAGAAGTTTTTGCAACACTTGCAGATGTGGGATACAAACAGGTCTTCCATTTATAAAACACTCATTAAAAATGAAGTAACAATTTAGTAAAAGGATAGTTAAGAGGCCAATAAAAGTCCCTGCAGTATGGGATCTGAAGCATTTCTTTTTATTTGTTATACTGCATATTATTTTCCACTAGAACAAATAAAGCTCTAGGAACATGCAGGTGGCATATTCATTACCTCAGATATGTACCTGCATGATTAACTTTATGATAATGAGTATAAATACTAAAATAATCTACTGATTATGGTAAACATATGGAATTATTCACTTAAAAAGGAATAGGAGCTAAAATATTTTCGCTTCAATTGGTAAGTAGTTAACATACAATTTAAAAAGAACTGAATAATTTTATATGCTTCTTATCTTAGATATTTGACTTGGTAATTCTCAGGTGAGGTATGACCTGGCTGCCCTTCTCTTCATAGGGGCTGGATTTGCAGATGTCTTGCCTCTGTGAAAAACAGGACTTTTATATTAAAGGTTGGCCACTTAAGAAGGAAGCATTAAAAGGTATTGGAAGTTTCTGAAAAGGTAACTATTTAAGTTTCCATCTCTTTGAAGTCTTGAAATGTTGTGTGTGTATATTCCTAAAGCTGAGATTGTTACAGAAGGTGATTAGCTTGAGCCTTCTTGGTACTGAATGCTCATTTGTCCCAGCTCATCAAGTGTTTAAGTACGTGTGAACAATTCCAGTGGATTTTCAAAGTGAGCTGTTGACATGAGCCTAAAGCTTTTATACACTGAAGTCCAAATGCTGGATACAACAAACCAACTAAAATATTCTAGGACTTGATTGAGGTGATATGTCATCTAAAGAACTTGATAAAAACACTACATGATATAGAAAAATTGTGTACATATTTTGTATATTTTTTGTTAAGGATGAAACTTTCAATAACAAAATACTGTAGGCAAGCAGTAGGCGCATTTAAAACTTTATCAACAGGTAAGCGTGCTCCCTATTTTAGTATTATTATTCTGCTCATAAATTTGAAAACACTATTAAACCTTATAGTCCTGATAAGGCCATAAAATGCCAACATTTTAGTAGTAGCAAAACTATTTTATTACATTTGAGGAAAAGATTTTTATCTTTGTTACTTTCTAAAGAACCTGGAATCTGTACACGTTAATCTACTGAAATTTTACAGCTGACTATTTTAAGCAATCTTTAATTGAATAGGATGCTGAACATATTTTATTTGGAACATTCCATTTTATTTGGAACATTCAGTGAAGTTTGCAATGGAAACAAATTTAGCACTGTACCACCAAGTGGATGAAAAAAATAAATTACATTGCATAGAAAAAAAATAAAGGCTTTACTGAGGAATCAGTGAGGTCCCCTTTAATTAAGGAAAACAAGCTTCAGGGTTTAGGGGAAGGAAGTGTTCATTGCCAGTGTAATTTTCTCTGTAATGCAAAGAAGAATCAATTTACAAAGATGTGGTTTGGTAGTTTTTGTTAGAATGAGAATAGAAGAGAGTCCTTAGAAGTGCTCCACTTCAAGGGAGAAATGGCAATAAAGTTGAGCTGGTTTAAGAATATTCAGAGTAAATGTCTTCTTTTTTTCCCAGGCCTGCAAAAGTAGATTAAAAAAAAATCCCTGTGGGGATTTGTTATATGCAGTTTTCTGTAAGGTGTTTTGTGACTTACATTTAATCCATTTTTCTCTTGCAAACCAGGTAAACCAAGTTACAAATTAGGACAAACTTACTTTTCAGTTATATAATTCCCAGAGCAAAAATACAACAAACCTTGCAAACCCAAAGAAAGTCACATTTCTAAATATTTTGTGTAGAATTCTTCTGTTATTCATGGAAACTGCATGTTGAGAATCAAAGCTCATGTTCAGCATTTTCACGCTAATAGTCCATTTCTGATAAAGGCTGTGTAAATCCTTTAAGCCTCTAAAAGCCCCAGACAATAATTATTGAAGAGGTACATATAAAAGATATAGATAATGACACGGATGGCTCATAATAATAATAATAATAATAATAACCTCTGAAGTTTCCTCTTTCTACACAGCTAAGAGTGCATGTGCAGCTTGCATCAAACACCCCTATGTTTTGTTCTCTGTCCTGTACACAACCTTGTATTTTGTCACATTACCTGCCTTCAGCTACATTCCTTGCTGAAAACCTTTCTTTGAGGGAAACTCTGATTTCTTAATTGATTTATATGATCTTCAATTGCTTGAAAATCAACTTTTTACTCTCTTTGATGGTCTTTTATGATGTTATTTCTGTAGTGCATAAATGATTGTGAGAAGATTAAAACATTCACTGGGCATGAGGTCCCAGAGAGACAGTTGATGTCTTTTCATATTTAAAACATAGTTTACATGAGGTCAGGTGGTTTAAGTAGCTTCTGGCTAGACAGAGCCTTAAACTGATTCTGGTAGGTGGGAACATTACAAACAAATAATCATGCACGTTTTGCCTTTTAGGCCGTAATTATGTCCTGAAATTGTATAGTGTAAATTTAACTGTACAGTCTATATCTAGTATAGACCAATACAACTAACCTTATGTCAGTTTTCACCTATATGCTTGAGGGATGGGGTGACTGGTACGTATCTCTCGGTGCTGAAATACAGACATAACTTTTATTGTAAGCTTGCTCCATGCCTTGATTGAGCTCCTCTGCCCTCTCTTCAGGAATGCCCTGGGGCACACTTCTGCCTTCCTCAGGTCTTCTGTACAACATACTTCTTGGACACCTTTTTCTACAGAGTACTAATTGCCTCTACAGAAGTACATATTAGTGTTACACAGGTAGTTAGGAGGGCATGGGGCTACCACTGTCTCTGCAATCGTCTTAAGTAATAGTAAAACCATATGTACAGCAGTTATTTTTGGATAAGACATATAATCTGGGGGATATCTTAAAATCTTGAACAGTTGGTTAGCATTTGAAAGCAAAGACTAAATTGCCTTTTATGGCTTGTTTTATTTAATCATTTATGAATACTTAGTCAACTGCTTTTCCTAGCGTCGAGGTCTCATGTTGTGCTTCTGTTTCATGTGTGTTCTTGTTCCTTGTGTGAAGCTTTAAATGTGATACAGCTCCCTAAAAGCTGACCACAATGCCATATGTGATGGAGCCAACAAGTGCAAGCAGAGACAGAGCAATGAAAGCTTAAAAAAGACAAATGAGAGTGTGATACAATTTAGGCATCTTTTCTGTGTCTTATTAACGTCTCGAAGTAGCAACACATTGGTTAGCACTTGGGATGCAAAGTTTAGAAGTTAACGTACTAACTGTTTATAATCGTGTAAAGATTCGCGGAGTTGGGGCGTGTGCATCTCATGTCCACTCAGTTTAAATATATATGCATGTTATACACATATTATATCTTTAATGCTACATATTTAATAGCATCATATTTCCAGTTTTTCATAGCTATCTAATAATCAGTTGTTGGAAGAAAATAAGGCCATTCCCCCTGCTCGCTCAGCACCCTCGTGTTTCCAACGCTCCCTTGCCCAGAGTCACTTTGTCTCGCTGTGGGTGTCAGTGGGGCTGCTGCCCCATGGCTGTGGTGCTGGAAGAGGGAGTGTGGGACCCACGCAAGGACTGTCCCCCTGCTGCCTTGTCATATTCCAAGGCCCTATTTAAGAAAACAACACCAAAGCTCCTCAAAGAGGAGACAGTCGCAGTATATGTTTCTTTGTAAACTGAACAAACAATGTGTTTTTTTTTTCCCCCAGCTTCATTCTTGGAAGCAGCTCAGTTCAGTAAGTTGCAACTTTTGAGAAAAAAAAGTCTGCCTGGGCAGGCACCCAAGTGTGGAGAATTTCAGCTGACAGTTGTTTGGCAAAGATGTGTGCAACTGAAAACAGGGTTTGCTAATAAACTGTGCTGAGCAGCCTTGGTAATTTGTAAATCGTTCTAACAGTAATTAAAAAAGCAAAGATAGATGGGGAGAACTGAGGTTAAAAAAAAAGGAAGTGCAGGCACAGACAGAGAGGGGCGAAGGTGTGAAGGTGAGTGCCAAGATGACAGGGCAAGCTACATAGGAGCGACAATGATTGTGGAGTGCATGGAACAGAGGAATAAAGATGGATTGTGGGCGTCAGATTGCTGTGAAGAGAGGTTTGTTGAAGTATTTTGGAACTAGAAGAGTGCATAGGGCTATAGCTCAATTTCAGAGAAGTAGCACAGTCCTAATCAAATAGTAAAATGTGGAGAATAGACACATTTGGGGTTTATTAGTGCTGTGTGACCTATGCTTTTGACCTGTTCCAGAGCTATTGAATTAAGTGCACAGAAATCTCACTAGCAGATGGGATTTGTCTCCTATACTGCAAAGGATGTTTATTGCAAAAACATTTTAAAATCTCAGTAAGTGAACTTGAATGTTTTGATCTAGACCATATCCAAGACGGTGGATTGGTATCTTGAAACATCTGCTTGATTTAGGTCCTGGGAATTAAAATCCTATAGGATGTGAAACCTTTCTATTGAATTATTCTATCTATTTGACTGTGAGTTAAAAGGATTGAGTCAGTTGTTTTGGATACATTGCTAAGAAATGTATGTTTAGTCTGTTCTAAAATTCAGATTTCAGCTCAACCTTCTAGCGAGGAAGTGCTGCCCAATCGATATAGAAGGAATAAAGTCATGTCCATTATTCTGCTACTTGGGAATAGAAGACCATAAAGCTGAAATACAGTAGACTAAGACAGCACTTACAGAACAATTTGTTAAAAACATAAAACTAGCATTATTTCCTCTTTAAAAAGCATCAAGGAAAGGAAGCGTGCTAGTCTTTGCAGAGGCAATACTAAATTATTCAGAATAGTAGAAGTAAATGCCAACTGCAAAGAAACACCTCAATGATACTGTTAAAAATGACAAATGAAATTCATTGTAAATAAAAGTAAAGCAAGCCTCAAAGAGTAAAAAAAAAAAAAAGCTTTTATGTGCCCAAGAATGGACTTCACACTGACTAATGCTGTGCAAGTGGTGGCGTGCAGTGTCACAGTGCATTAGCACCCTGGAAAAGTCAAGAGAGGGACGACTAGGATGAGTTAAGGAAGATTAAATGTTTCAAATAGGGATCAAGTAGGAGTTTTCCTGGAAAGAAAATTCAAGGAGGCCGTGATGGGCTTTATCAGCTCACAAGCAGCAGGTGAATAGATTACGACTGATTGTTTATTAGCTCTTCTGCTACAGAGAAAAGCGGGGAAATTAAATGAAACCAGTAGGCGATACAATTAAGACAAACCAAAGGAAGTATTTGTTCTTGTCTGTTATGCCATGAAGCAAATTGACACTGATTGCTAGTAGTTTATACTCACTGGAAATATAGCAGGGCTGGGTTTTGAAAAAATATCCATCCAGGCCTATAAAGCTGCTAAGTCTTGCTCAGAGCCAGCAGCTCTCCTCCCAGGAGGCTGGGAAGGTCCTGGCCGTAGCGCTGTACACCTGGCTTCTTCCTGAACTTTCTCTGAAGTATCAATTATGGGCCAAGGCCCGAGGTACAGAGCTGGAGAAGTGCTAAGCCTTGGTCAATATGCACTTAACAGAGTTCATTAAAAATTGCTGCCAAGATGCAAGCAGGCTCCAGTTTGTATGTAGCTTCAGGGTGCTAGCTTTTTCTTTTGTGTATTTTTTTTAGTTTGACTTAAATTTGAAATTGCCATCTCCATTGAGAAGAATAGGGTAGCCTTCTTAGGTCTTTCTTGTAATTTTCTGCTTTCATGGCTAGTTATATTTTAATTTACTCACTACATATTTCCTATATTTTTTCTGTATTTAGTCAGATATCAATTGTTGTCCAGTGTTTTTTTCCTATATCTTGAATGAAAGCAGAAATGAGGGTTGTGCTGTAGAGTTCAGTGTTTATTGTGTAAAGCTACTTCAGCCTACACATTTTTAATCTAAAAGCAATAGCAGTATCTTTCATTAATGACTTCGCTATTTGAGATTCGTAAGTGACACTAAGTTAGGAAGGCTTTGACACCATTGCAGGACAGGTTTGGATGTCAAACTCTTGTTCATATATTGGAGAAGTGACTTTCTCCAAGGGAGAAGGGAGGGAAAGGGAGTAGAAACAGTGAACTGTACAAATCCTAGAAGTGGAATCTTTGCTTAGCTAACAAGACTAGCACAAGCTTTTGTGGATTACATACTGCCAAAGGCTTAATGCCACCAGGCAAAAATAAATAAATAAATAAAGACAGAACGAAAATATTAAGGGGGGCACAGTCTGAAAGCCATGTGAAGTGCCTGATCCTTTCTCCTTCGTGTTCATGAGGTCTTTCTTACCTGAGAGCGCCATGCAGGCTTTGGTGTCATGCTTAATGGCTGTGAACCAATGGACAAGGGCTGGAGATCATTAGGCCCAAGCTGAGATCACTTTTACAGGAAACTTCAATGAACTGCACCTTGGTTATCATCTCATATCACCGTAGCTTTTTCTTGTACAGCGTGGCAGCTTCAAATGCGCTAAAGGCTTCTACAAGCAAACTCCTGTTTGGGGATTTATCACTTATTTTTTATGTTACTTTTTAACACTGGCATCTATGTTACACACATAGCTCTGTGTTCCTAGTTTCCTGGGCTAACCTGCTGCCTCATCTCCTCTAGCACGTGATGGCAGGATTCATGCCACGGTGCTTCTCATGTTGGCCAAATGTGCTTCTACTTTCAGTATAAATGTCAAATGGTGTGTTGTCATCGTAGAGCTTCTGCTCATCACAGAAGTTGGTAGTGAAATGTGGAAAAAGTCATGCTTTGAGCTATCACAGTCACAACTGTGGTCATTTATTCAGAAATGGAGAGCCTTGTCTGCTCCTCTCTCCACATAACTCAATAAAGAAAACAAATGTGTCCAAATCAATTAAGAATGATTGAAATGAAATTTCTGTAGAAAATGCATTATGTAGAATTGTTAAGTATTTACATGCTCTGCTCCCAGTACTGTGATCATAGATGTGCATATTTCTTGAATTTGGTTTCCCTTTGAGCTTTTGTGAAGCTGTTTCATAGTGGATTGCTTATTTAAGACACTAAATAGTGTATTTGAAATACAGCTTAAGATGCCCTTAGTTGGCTTTTTTTTTCTTTTTTTATGTTTTTTTCTGGCAGATAAGTCTTCAGTAGGATTTTGTGGCCGTGACACTCACAGATTAATTGTGTGCTGTTAAGAGTACATCATTTTGTCGGTTTTAATCTTGTTGCCTTTTTGTTTAACTGAATCATGTTTTCCATGAACTGGCAAGTGGATAAGCAAGGGACATCTCACTGCATTTATCTAACCTAGCAGTCACGCTAAGTGCAAACTATCAAGAGAAGAAAAAAAATACTCATATTTTGAATATATTTATCAAGAAATGATTTATGTGCGGTCTTTTGTTGTTGGACACCTCTGAATTCCTCCCTCTGTTGCATCTTTAAGGAGAGAAGCTGACCAGAACCAAATTCACCACTCTCGTCCCTCTGAACCATTAATTTACAAAAATGCATTACTCTTGTCCGGGTATTTTCTATCTCTCTGTTTTTCCATGCTATCTTTCCCTTCTGCACCGCTGTGCAGTAGACTGAAGTTGTCAATGAGATTTTGAATGTTTAGGACTTTCTGGGAAGCCTGGGGGATCTAGGTGTCCATCCCTCACTTGAAATTCAAATTTCAAGGGAATTGAAGCTCCCTTAGGCTCCCCTGAAACTCGCTGTCTGTTTCTTTTTCTGAGCAGCTGAATAGTATAAGGTTCGGAATTAACTGGGTGCTGAAGATTTCCTGCATATTCCTGCACTTTTGACTTTGGAGTTAGTTTTTTAATCCACGGTGAATCCACTTTTTACCCTTAAACCAATAGTGAAGTACTTTGTGAAAAGCTCTTTAAAAGGTCAAGTAAGCCGTGTCAGCCTGTTCTTTTCCCTTTGCTCTTCTGCTTGCGCGGTCAGTGGAATCTAGAAACCATGAATAAAGGGAATATGTATTGAATTAAACAGTGGTGGGGCACGGCTTTAACATGGTTTGTATGGTTCCCTTGCTATTTTCGTTTTTTATTTTTATTTCAATATAATTTCTCCCAAAGTATTTCAGTGACTGTGACCTTTCATTGCACTGTTCAAAACTTAAAAATTGCTATCTTTTGATATGGTGGCTGATAATTTCAATTGCTTCATATTTTGTCATCCTTATAATTAAAAATAAAACCACTTGGATGTATTTCTGTCTGTGCTTGATGATTCAGCATTTCATTTATTGTTCTATTGCAGCACTGCAGCTCACCATTACCAGTCCTGTCCCTTAAATGGTTGCCTCCACCTTTCTATCACCTGGACACACAAGGTATGTGGATTTGCCTTTGTAAAATCACTGGGAGTGATCATTCTCAACAGTACAAGATGAGGAAGAGGCTCTTTTTTCCCAAAATGCTTAGTACTCACATAACTTCGCTACTAATTAAATTATTCTGTAATTGACTTCTGTGTGACTAAAATTAGACCAATGATGCTAAACACTTATGGAAAAAAAATCTCTCTAAAGGTTTGTTTACAGAGGAACCTAATGTAAGGAAACTAAGGTATAAATTCTAAAGCACATTAACCCTTAGCTTTAATTTCCCAGCTGAATAGTCTGAGAGCGTAAGGATGATTACTCTACTTGCAGAGCATGTAATCAATTGTAAGTTCAAACCCCATCTCATTTTAGTGTAGCATCTCTGGCTGAAGTATTTTTGCATCAGCCTCCACAGGAAAGTATAGAAATTGAACTCAAATTCATCCAGTTCCCATGCCAAATATAACGCTAACGCCATTCTCATTACTTTTGCTTTTTTACCTGCACTGTAGCAGAACTGAAGTTTTCCTAAGGTTTTACATGTTAAAACAAATCTTTTCTCTCCTTGAACAGCTGTTCATGCCTGCAGTGTATACACATTTATGTGTTTACAATAAATTTTTATAATCTCTATTTATCACTATTAGCTGTATTGCTCAGGAGTCCAAGTAATGTAAATTCTTGAATCTTTGTTGTGCTTTTAGTAGGAATTGGTTACATGTCATAATTTAAAATAATACTCTCCGTCTACTTTCTCATCCATACTGAAGAATACAGCAGATCCATAAAACAGATTTATGAAATAGGTTGGAGTTCATGGTTTATTTTTCCTGTTACCTTCAATTTGACTGAAATATGGTTTCTGGGAACATTCTCAGACTGTGACCTACAGTTATAGCAGTGATTTTTTGTTCATGTCAGGGGAAATAGTTTCATTTTATGGGCATTTTTTGATGTGCTACTCTCTAGTGTCTTGCATAATTTTGGTGAACTCCGTAATACAGAAATCGAGACTCCATCACAATTATTGAACTTCTTATTTTTCACACATGCATCCAATGTTGTTTGGGTCTAACATCTTGAGTCTGACCTCACATGTTTGCTCTGAACTGTAGTCGCTATCTATATACTTGGAATAAATGACTTTTTCCTTCGGCTAGATTCCTGTGAAGGCATCAGTAGGTGTGACAGCCTTCTAAGTACATCCATGTCAGACATTCCCCCTGGACAGAAAGGTTCTGGAAGAAATATAACCTGCGCTTAATATTAATGCTGTGTTTGCTGGAAACATATTTAAATTGATAAACGCCCTAAAGAATAAGTAGGAAATGAGTGTGAAAATATATTAGCAAAGAAATACTAACCTATGCCTCAAAGATGAAAAATGAGCTTTAGAAGTATAAAACAATGTATGCCATTTATAATTTCTAGGTAGCATACTGTCCTCTCTGGAGAGGCAAAGCTATTATTGTTGCTTTAGAACAGAGCTGACATCAGTAACCAAAGGCTTACACTGCTTACCTGCATTATCTTTTTTAGCATACTATAAACAGAAATAACTAGTCTCTATTTGTATAGTTCCCTATTAAATTAAAAATCCAGATGTTTCCCTGTGGATGCGTTTTTAAGAGGACTGAACATTCATGATCAATAATGCAGGAAAGTCCTTTATAGCCTTAAAACTAAGCATGACATTGCTTTAAATGGAAAAATATGTATATTTGATCACAGACTGGACAGGGGGTAAATAGTGTTACAATGTGTTTTACAAACTGCTTTATATATGAATGACCAAACAGTGAGGTATTCAGAGTAAAAGAAGGATCAGGGCTGAAATACCCACATCACTGATCATAACCTCGTTCCTGAATTTTTTTCATGTTAACCTTTCTGAATTACTTTATGTTGGTGAGCTTGAAAGAAAGGTTTAAGGTCTTCTGAAACCGTGCAAGGCTTCGAGCTCTCGCCAGCTGCAAACAGTTTGTTTGCAAGCTGTTGCCATTGCCCAAATTCCGCTGTGCTGCTTCCCTTGCTGAGTGTGGAAAGGGCTTTGAAGGTTCTGCAGAGCCTGCTGCCCTCCGGAGAGGTCCCAGCCCTCCGTAGGGACACAGAAATGGCAGCTACTCAACTTCTCTGCACATTTCACCACCCATGTGTAAGGGATTAATGGTGCACCAAGTTGTCCAGTGTTAAGATCAAGCGCTATCTAACTCTGTTTTATTCATGGAGTCAAGTACATAGTAGCAGCAAAATCTCCTTCTGGCTTTATTTGTTATTAGACACTCTGGTTTGGAACTCTTGGCTTGGTGCTTCATGCTCTATTTTTTCTATGAATCCCACTGGACCTGCAAATTAGCTGGCATTGACTTGCTGGCCCCGTCTCTTTATGTGTTGTTCTTAAAGTAACTAGGCTGGTGATGAAGAATCCCACAGCAAAACTGCTGAAAACTGCTCCACTGACCTGCCAGAAAAACTCAGCCTGTTGGGAAAAATGGAAAAAAAATAATGTGCTCAGAGGTAAAATACACAGTAAACATTTATTTTTGTTAAAGGAAACCCTGTATAAGGGTTTCTCATTGAGTTTATGGGGCAAGAAAAACAAGGAACAGGATGTGCCAGATTTGTACTGTATATTTAAAACTATTATGCACACACAGGGTGATTGTTTCATACAGCAGGGCTTTAGTAATTAAGGGAAATAGTTTAAAAAGGCAAATGGATCCTTAACCATTTTTTTCAAGTTTCTTGCCAAAAAATTAAATAGACTAGAACAGTATGGAATGTGTGAATTGAGGACCATTAAATAAGAAAAACTGTATTTCTATTTTTATTACGTCTATAAATGGTGTCTATTTATGGTGTCTAGAATTTGATCAATCACAAAATCTCCTCTCTTTTTATTTCTCCTTGAAGGTGTGAAGATATTTGATAATGAAGTGTGAGCGAGGATAGTGCGTACAGGTGCCTCTTGCTGCTTTCAAAGAGTTAGATGCAGCACTAGCTGCAGAAAAGTGGAGGTCTTTGGAGGGGATGGAACTCAAATACAGAATTTCTGCTGTGTTTTTTGCCTCTGTGCAATGGTTCTGCTGACTTCCTTTGGGAGGGAAGGAGCTCAGAAGTGCTGGATAACTGCAGTACTTTTTGCCTTTGTGCTACATCAAAATATTGTTTCTTCGTGAATTTTCTTGTTGGGTCAGTATAATATTGGTCTGCTGTCATACGATGCCTTTTTGAGTAGCTTTTTGAGTTAAAGCCCCAGAGCTGAAGTGCATATCCACTGTTAAGAGGATGATTTTTGAACATTGAGACCCTTCAGCATTAATTAACTGCATTAATATGCAGTTAAATATATGAAAGGCCCTTCCTACCTCCACCTCTTTCTCCTGTGTTACAGGAAAGTTTCCAGCACCTGCAGCTACAAAAATACTGACAACACCATTCGAGCCCAAGTTGAAACTTTAAAAGGTCATTGTAACATATCTAGGTACCACCGATGTTTTCCAAAGTGCAGTGTGAATACATTTTCAATAGAAATGCTATTTATACGTCTTGTGGTCGTAGTCAATAAGCATAATATTTTAATCTGGGAGAGAGCACGGCCATGTGCTCAGTCAGTGCCTGACCGCAGCTGTTAGGGCTTCTCCTAGCCATGCTGTCTGATGTGGCAAACTCTTACTGTTTGTCACAAGTCTTAACAAATTTTAAGTCTTAAAGTTCAGATGCTGAGTCTATGTGATGGCTCATAAATACAACTTTTACCTAAAGACCTAGGTGAAAATTGACAGCTAAAGCTTAACGGCGCCAAAGAATTGCCTTGAGCACTGTCAGCCGTCAGAGAGCCTTGCGAAGAGGTTGTAGCTGATTAGAAGTGAAGTAGCATTAAATGAATCGCATGGGAGGCTTATTTGGGTGCAGGGTGGCATGGAGCTAAGGGGAAGAAGTGATGCTGTGTGGCAGGGAGCACGTTCTGCTTGAATTAACCGTGCTGTTTGATGGATTGGTGCTGCAGGTACTTTTGCCTGGCTCTAGAGATTTAGAGCACAGCAGACAGACAGTGTCTGTCTGAGGGGAGACCTTGAGCTTGCGGGTGCAAAGGTCTTTCTGGCGCAGAAAGCTAATTTTGTAAAGTCCGTTGTTGGACTTTTTTGTCCTCAGCCTTATTTTTTTCCATATGTCTCTGTTAGTTTTCCTCCTAGAAGAACATTGGTCATATCTCCTGATCATAGCATGTAAATATGGAAAGTGAGGGGCACATATGAGACTAAATTCAGAAAACGATGTGCCATGGTCTTATAGTGGGGATACAGGAGGTAGACAGTGATTTTTCTCCATCAGCAGTGTATAACTTGAATGGATTCAAGAGGCCAAATCCAGAGCCTTGGAAAAGTTCTCCAAGGAGTTATTATGGAGGAAGCGAGGGAGTTAGGTCCTCCTCAACAGAGCGCAGACTCGGCTCTGTCGAGGAGGATCTCAACAGTGGGGACAAAGATGCTCCTTGCTGGAGGCTGCTGCTCCCGTTGTCGCTCCCAGCTGCTCCGAGGCTGCCCTGGCTGTTTGGTAGCAGCTTCCAAAGACTCTGCCCGGACCCCCTCCATCTGCCTTGGTGTCTGCTGAGATCTCAAGGCAAAAATCTCCCCAGGATCTGACCAGAAACTGTCTCCTCTGGGCCAAGTTCTTCACTTTCTGGAGACCTCAAAGCTGTCGTGCTTCTGAATCTCTCCCAGTTTTTTCCTTTCCAGGAGAGAGCAGCAGAGGCTCTTGTGTTGTGTGTGGGACAGGGATGCCCTGCAGGGACCCTGCCCTGCAGAGATGCAGCCAGCCTGGCCTGCTTCACCTGCGAGCAGCACTCGCCGGCGCTCCGCCCGGCAGGGAGCTGCCTCGGCAAGGCAGGGCTCGTGTGGATCCAGCGTGGCAAACTGGAGGTTTAATTCCCGAGTGAGTGTCAAGGTGCCTTTGTGAAAATGGACACGGGCAAATGCACGTTCAGCCAACAGCTGTCAAGGATTTGCCGGCACGAGGTCTGTAGAAAACCACTCATGGGAGATGTCCACCACCCACCGCTTCATCCTGCACCTCGCGTGGTGAGGGCTGAACGCCGGGGCACAGCATCCCCGCGCTGCAGCTTGTGTTAGTCTTGACGCACAAATGTCAACAGAAATGATCGTGTGATTTCATTTAGAATATGCTTATATGATGTGTAGGGTGGCTACATGTATAAAATTCGCCTTGTCATCTGTGTTAATCTGACCCCTGTCACCTTGCATCTCAATAGTAATCGATGATTTTTAGCCTCTCCTTAGAGACAATGAAGAATATATCTGACTTCTTGTTAAGAGAGCCTTTGAAATTAGAATTCAGTAACTTTTATGTGGCTGTTTAGATTATTTTAAAAGAGTCCATAAAATACAAAGGTTTATAGGTTTATTTAGCTTAGAAATCTATTACTCTATATTTCCACTGTATATGTAACCGTACTGTTTTATATTTGCAGTCACAGCCTCACGAGGCTATTTTCTATCCTCACTTATCAGAAACAGGAATTAGAAAATGTAATGCTAGCCGTAGGGGAGCAAACTTTTTCAGAACTCCTATCTGTTAATATCACCTGCCAGCCATTTAATGTGTTTATAGTTTATGCTAACCTTGCTTAGCTTTCCTTTTAATCCGTTATCATCTGCATACTGGCTAGAGGGCAAGCCTGCAGCCCATTGCAATTGCTTTGCACTCCCTGTCTTTAGTCACTAAAGTTGCTGTTTTCTTTTTATTGCTGTTTTTATTCTTGCAAGTTGCTGGTTGTTAGGTTGTTGTTGTTAGGTAGTTGTTGCGGTTTTGTTAACAAAAGCACCAGTCAGTAAATTTACTGTTAATGATAGGATTTATAAATATTATTTTCTTTGCCTCTTCTTTCAGATAATACTTTTTTTTTTAGATTATAAGTTATAGAGACACCTTTAGACTCTTTGATTTTCAGAGGCAGGAGGCTCAGGAGAGTAAGATTGTGTCAGTAAGTGGTTGGAATAGTCTGCAGGATCATTTTTAGGAAGTGGCTCATTTAAGAAAAACCTTTTTATTTCATCTCCCTTTCTAGTTAATGCCCAGATCTCTAAGTAAAATGAAATGGAGTGTATTTCTTATATGCGCCCCCAAATATTGTTTCTTGTCAGCAATATGAGCTCCCGCGAAGTTTGTTTCATGTGGGGGATCTGTCATCTTTTATGTGCTTTGCTAGTCCCCTCTTCCAATGCTTGGCCAGAAACGAGTGGAGGTCAACGTGGAGCTGCCGAAATGCCCTGCTGCGGCCCTGCGGGTGCCGCTTTATTCTTGCTCAGCCCTTTTTGTTCTTTCCGTGCTTTGCATCTGCCCTCCCCAGGCCCCCCGGGAAGCTCCTCAGCCTCTCCTAGGGTGTAGGTAGGTGGGACCCAGCTGACCCGCCCGGGGCCTTCTGGTAAAGCCAGCAATCACCTACTGGGATGCCACTAGTTGGTTGTTATCCTTAAGCTGACAAGACAATTTTGTGTAAATATGGAGCACATACACGAAACTTTGTGTTTCAAGCCTTCTATGCAAAAAGAAAAAAATGGTATTTGCTTGTTTGGGATTCTTCTGCATCAGCTCTCACTGAAACATTTAAGACACAGCTCAAAGCATATTGCATTTTACCTAATTGGTCTCATTCTAACATAAATCTCAAAGTGCTCTGCTTGTAATGAATAATGAAATCAAGGTTTACTTGTAGTTGTTCCTATTTAGGAAGCCTTTTCAACACTTAAACTTTAAATGTTTTTATACATAGAACATATTGTCATGTTCTCATGCCATCCGAACTCAGTCTAGGCATATCTGCACTATGTGGATAGAAATAGCTGAATTTGGTTCCTTTTTGTATTAAATGAATACTTTTTAATGAATAATATTTCCTATTAAAAAGAATGCTTTTTTGTTTCACCATTGGGCATGTGCCAGGTGTTTGTACATTGTTTTACAAATTATTCTACTGGGGAGATCAAGATCTTATGAAGGGACTTTTTGATGGTCTCATTACTCCTGACATTTCATTGTTTAGACTCAACAGATTTAGTCAGTGCTTTATTAGACCTAAATAAGAATTCACAGGTAACAATTTGATTTTTTTTATTAATGTGTGAACTACACCAAGGGCAGATGAGCAGTTATTATGCCATATGACCAGCTCTACTTTTACCAAAGCAAAGGAAAAAAGCGGATCTGTACCTGGGATGTAGCCCTCTCAAGCGATTCCTAAAGCACGGCTGACGTGATGCCTCCAGACGCGCAGTGGCCACCACGTCGTGTTCAGTACAGCACCTTCCCCTGCTCCGCTCTGCAAGTCGTTTCCACCCTGTGCTTTTGTATGTTCTGCATCGTGGCAAACATGATGATTTTAAAAACTTTATTTTTGTTGCTACAGTACCACTAATGTAGCCTCTAGTTATGAATACAGTTAGGCTGTTTTTGTTTTATCTTTTTTTTTTTTTAATACCACCAACATTAAAGATATACTTAATTACAGAGGTGTAATTGAGCTGTTGCCAGTTCTTGCACCAGCAGCCTCGAGGTGGCTGGCTGGAAACTCCTCTCTGTGTTGCAATGAGCTGGTGTCAAATAAGAATAAATAGGGAAAACAGCCCATTCTTCTCTTAAATCAATCAGCATGCAGTGCTGTGAAATTCTCCAGCTATAAGCTTGTAAGTAGTGAAAAGTGTTCTCAGCAATTAATAGCATTATAAATTAATAATACTATAGTTGTTTACTCTCTGATGGCATGCTTCACCCTGAAGCATCATAAGCTCCTTAGATTTGTTAAGACAGGCTGCAGCAGTTAAGGGTCTCTTGAATAGTTCTGCAGTTTCAAAACAATTTTTAGACAGCGTATTAGCTTCTTTAGTAAACGTTATGTCTAAGGTTTTGAAAAAGTAAAATAAACAAAAGCCCAAGGTGTTATTTACTTAATTAGTTCTCTCTGCAGCATGAATTTCTTTATGAACTTTTTTCCACTTAATTTCTACCATAAACGTTGTTGTTTCCTATGTTACTAAGCAACACCAGCACTACCAAATAGCAGAAAAAAGCATATAATAAGGCACTGTAATTCTGATCTTGTATCATGGGTAAATTTTTGAGTTGTGTTCTATAAAGCTAACAGGAATACTCTGAGATTCAGAGAGTGCACAGTGCAGCAATGTAAAATATATTGTTTTCATTATACGGAGTAGTTCATATTATCTCCTAAAAATATGCATTAACTGCATAAAGACAAAGAAGCAACACAAGAATTATTCAAACAACTTTCCAATTATATTTGATAAATCACGTTTAAATCCTTTTTACATTTATGTAGCAATTATAAGCTAACCACAGGATCTAACATCTCAGAGCTTCATCAAAACCAAGCTGAGGCTGGAATGCTGTTCTGATGGAATTCTCCCCAAGGCAATTTCTGATCTTATAGGCATTAGCTTTACAGTACGTTCTCAATTCAGTTTCTTCTGCTAGCATTTCCCAGGTAAGAAATTAAAAAAAAAAAAAAAAAAGTATTTGGGGTAGACAACAAAGAAGGATGTTGAGATAGTCAGGATGGAATATAATAACAGTTGGAGACTTAAACTCCGGGCATTTTCTGTCTCAGCAAAGATAAAGGCTTTTTCAATATATCCATGATGTTGGCTTATTTTAGCAGTGATAAAGTGTTTGAATGTGAAGCAGGAAGCTTCAACAACTGCATTTTTGCTCTGTTAGCAATAGCATGAGAGCGTGATGGTGCTGTAATGACAGGAGGATGAGCGGCTGCTGCCTCAGCTGAGTCTCGGGAACGCGGCTTCCAAAGTGAGGAGTCTGTTTATCCTGTGAAATGCAGAACTTCCTGCCCTCCATGTACCCACTAATGCTGAATACATTCAGAGGGCGAATCTCTCCAAACATAGATGGATTGAGGACTGGATTAGGGGAAAAAAAATCCGAGGCAGAAATAGCCAGTACTGCCTTATAACTGATTGATGGCTGAGTCATTGCTAACCAGTTGTGAATGAGCACGGTCTCTTCCTGGCAGCCTTGCAAATCTCTTACAGGACACAAATGCACATAGTTTTTCAGACTTCAAAAAATGGAATGAGACAGATTATATCCATGACAGATTGTACCTCAAACTCTGATTATGTGATTAATATCACATATTAACCTGGCATCCTGGGTTTCAGCTTATTATGAGTGGTCATGTAATAGTAAGTCCTGCAAGGCTACTTGTTGTTGTTGTTATTGTCTTGAAATAACAACAGTAAAACTAACCACGTGTGGTGACTGCAAGTTGAATGGTAACTGCCAATTTGTGATGAGCTTAGAAGTACTGAATTATCTTTTCATTATCTCTTTTTTTTCAGATGTTTCAGAAACTTGCAGTGTGTCCATCACCAATTCTGCCAGCCAGCTCCTCAAGAGGAGACTTACCTAGTGTTTCATTCGTCAAGCATATTATTATCATCTTGAACTAATTATTCCTCTCCACATGGCCTTCCTCCTGGTGTCAGCTTATCTTCTGCTGACTCATGCTCAGGGTGCTCCTGCTGAGAATGGGGCCCTGCTGGAAACACTGAAGTCCCAAGTAGGATTATTCAGCAATAAAAGCGAGCACTATTCCGCACAGGTGAGACCTCCTGGCACAAGCCGGCGAATACCTCAGACAATCATCATAGGAGTTCGTAAAGGAGGGACGAGGGCTTTGCTGGAAATGTTGGATATTCACCCTAATATTGTGGTGGCAGCTACAGAAGTCCACTTCTTCGACTGGGATGAAAATTATGTGAAAGGAATAGACTGGTATAGGAGTCTGATGCCATTTTCTTATGGAAATCAAATTACAATTGAGAAAACACCAGGCTATTTCACATCGCCACAGGCTCCAGAAAGAATTCATGACATGAACAGCTCTATTAAACTGCTGCTCATTCTGAGAGATCCCACTGAGAGAGTTATATCTGACTATACCCAAGTATATTACAACCGAGTAGAAAGCCACAAGCCTGTTCAGCTTTTTGAAGACATTGTTATTAAGAATGGAGCACTTAACACCAAATACAAAGCGATTCAGAGAAGTCTGTACGATGTTCATATGGAGAAGTGGCTCAAGCATTTCAGTTTGGATCAGATTCACATAGTGGATGGTAACACTTTAATCAAGGATCCTCTTCCTGAGTTACAGAAAGTAGAAAAATTTCTCAATCTTCCTCCCCGAATTATGTCTTCTAATTTTTATTTTAATCAAACCAAGGGATTCTACTGCATTAGAAGTGATGGGAGAGAGAGGTGTTTACATGAATCCAAAGGGCGGCCCCATCCTGTTGTCAACAATACTGTTTTAGAGCAACTTTATTCTTATTTTAGAGAGCACAATGCAAAATTCTACAGCATGGTTAATCATTCTTTTGACTGGCATTAATGAATTTGGAACTGGTAGTTCTTGAAAAGGACCCAAGACAAACACTTTCAAACACCTTTGTAAACTACAGAGTATAATATGAGAACTTAACATACTGGTAATATGGGAGCAGACAAAACTGCTCTTTTGGAATAACTTATATATTGACTCATTATAATGACACCCTTTATATAGGAAAAAAATGTTCGATGTATTTGATTATTGTGGATAATATTCTCATCTTTTTTCTTGCAAATGCATTAACTTCAGTGGATTTACTTTAAAACTCTTAAAAGCTTTGAGCTGTTTTGGAAAAAAAAAAAAAAGTGACTGCTTCCAACATGTAAAAAGTGTAAATATTTGAAAGAGTATTACTCTGACTGTTCTGTATTTTGGGTTGTTAGTATTTTTTTATATCAGACACCATGATAGTAGCATTATTTCTAGAATTTTTCATACAATAAGTTAAATACGTATATTGAAACAGGGGCATACCTAGTGGTTCTATTGAACTAATTTCTAATTTGTCAATAAGTCAAACTTCTTAGTTAATCAATAATAAAAGGAATTTATTTCACCTATGATTTTGAATAGGTGGACCAGAAGCTCCCTGCCTGGATGTCACTAGTATTAAGTCACACTCTTAAGAGCTTGTGTTCGCAAAAACAAAAAGACCCCCCACCACCACTCCAAACCACGAGAGAATATGAACTGCTTGAAGAAGCTTTAGGGGAGGGTTCTGAATGTAAAGACATTCAGATTCCAGGCAACCTCAATTTACACTGTCAATCTGTATACTAAAAATAAATTCATGAATGCAAAATATTTGTTAATATCGCAAACTGTACAAATGTTTGATTTTATAAGTCAATGTCACTTTTCTCTTAAATGAAAAAGACAATTCCTCATTGGTGCTACCATATTATTTACGGTTGTTTTCTGTGACTGGTTGTTCTAGTTGTTTCCTGGCTTTAGCTAACGTGTCTACTTGGGCATATTGTTTCTTGAAGGAAAGATAAAATAATGCTATTTCCCTGCCTTCCAGAGCATGGAATAATTTCTTTCTTTGCAATTTCTCATGCAGATCATGCTCAGAGGTAAAAGTAACTCTTTGTTATATTATCTCAGACACAACAGTTTTCAAGACATATGCCATAGCTCACATATAAAAATCATGTTCTATATTAATGCGCTGGTATTTTTTGTTTTTAATATTTTTGTTTGACGGTATTGTGCTGGTCTCCTCCTTTTTTTCATGGAACAACTGTTTTACTTTATATCAATGCCAAAGAAAAAAATCAGCTTGAAATATTGAGAGCCTCCTGCCAAAGAGAAGCAGCGCGGGAGCCCTACGAGCCTGTGTCCAGCTGGAGCGCTGCAATCGGGAAGCGCGGCTGCGCTCCCGCGGCAGCGCCTCGAGAGCCCGCAGAGCAGACCTGGGGAGCCCCCACTGCGCCTCTCAGCATCCCACCCACCTGATCCCGTCCACGCTCCTGAATCCCTGAGCTCTTCTGCCCAAGCCCCCAGGAGTAAACGGTTCTCTCGGGGGATTTGTTCTTCCATGTGATGGGCTTGAAGGTACGTGCTTTGTGCTAGGCTTTGAAGATGATAGGCAACCTGCAATCTTCTTCCAAATCAAGGCCTGCTAGATAATACAGAAATAACCTTCATTAAATCCTCCCCCAATCAATGTAAAATGCTAATATAATAAAACTTGTTCCTTTTTTCTTCTGCTACCTTGTACGTGCATATCTGTGACAATTATGTCAGATTTTCATTCGTATGTAAGTAACCTCTGAAATTATCTTTGTAGGTGGGCAAAATCATTGTTTAGGTCCTCCACCTTTACTACTCTTTCTTTGCTTTCTTAATCATTAATGCTGATTAGATCTTTGTAATACTGAGAAGTACGAATTTGATCAGGTGTGGAAATACAGATGCGCTTTGTTCAAATTAGCCAGAGGAGCTGATTTTGTTGATACTAGACTTGTTCTGGCTGTACAAGGACAGTGGATAGATGAACCATAATAATTACACTTGTGTGGTCCAATGGCACCTTCTTCTCCATGTGTCAAGCAGAAAGTTAACCCAGTAAAAATTCTGAACAAATCACAGAGCAGAGGGGCTTTATATTGGAAAAGCACCTTGTGTCTTGCAGCCGCAGCGTTTTTATCTGAAGCCGAAGCCCCAAATCCAGACTTCCTATAGTATTTTACATTTTTTACATAGCCTATTCTTTTTGTCCAGTGCAGCCTCAGTGAGGAATAGAACTCATTGAAGTCCATAAAGTCATCTCAGAAGTACACTATTGCAGGTAGCAGTAAAGCAGTTAAAAGAAAAAAAAAAAAAGAAAAGAAAAAAATAAAGAAAATCTATATCATGGATTATGTAGAAAGCTATTTTTTTTCCATCGGTACCGCTCTTTCTTATGCATTCCAAACCTTCCATATTCTTCACATATTGCCTGTTTTCCATGAGCATTCCATTTAATAGTGTTGAAAAATATATTTTTTTTTTAGTGAGGAAGCTGATTTCAAAACAATGTATATTTTAGCAAACATTTCAGGTAGTTTTGAATAATTGTAGACTTCACATGTCCGTGCATCAAATCAATTTCATAGACTTGCAAAAAAAAATCCAATGCCTTTCTGTATTTATGCCTGCAGGCACCAAGTCATTCTCTTTTTCGTCTGACGTTTACAGCTAGTCTTTAAGCGAGTAGAATGCAGGAGCACCGATGGGCAGCAGCTACGTGCATCTCTGAAAACACTGGTCTCTGTTCACCTTCCAAGGAGTGCTGATCTGTACGGATTTGTGACACAAATATCTGCCTGATATTTGTGGTCTTCATTCCTGCTCAGCATTTCTGGGAAGGAAACAATTGAGGGAATTAATTCCGTGATCCTTTTAGAGTTTACCAATACCAGAAGGAACACATTATGCACACAATATAATTAGGGTGAAGGGTTGCTTTATTTTAACATAAATCAGAACTCGGAGACTTTGTTTTGGTAGCTGTCTGCAACAACACAATTTATCCTCTCCATAGCAGAGTTCAGTAAATCTAGTAAAACTGTAATATAACATTTCAAATGTTTGCAAGGCTGTTGGGAGCATCTGGAACAGAAGACAGAGAGGTGGAAGAGTACTGTGGAGTATATGGTAATTTGAGCAACTCTTTGACCTTGTCTTGCATTCTGTAAGTGTTAAGATTTCACTTAAAATATTGTTCCTGACTGGTTTTTTTTTTTTTTTTTTTTTTTTTTTTTTTTTTTTTTTTTTTTTTTTTTTTTTTTTTTTTTTTTTTTTTTTAGTTAAAATGACATAGTTACATAGTTACAGTTGCTTTAGACAAATGCTACCAGGACCTGTCAGCAACAAGCAATAGCAACCATAACTGCATCCGTTCAGCCTTTGCCACGATGAGGAGCACACCCACCCTGAGAAGCTAGCTGAGTCTAATAGCACTGTGTTTCTGTACAGGTTATGTGTATACGAGATATGTTCCGTAAAGGAAAATGAGTTGGCAATTTAGGAGCTAGATTTTTTTCCCCAGCAAAACTCTCACTTCTGGTTAGTTGAAAGTAATCAGGCTTTCTTCTCTTGAGCTTCGCACCCACCTCCTCATTATTTTACCAGAGAAAGAGTTTTGTTTAACTATGCTTATTAATAATATCACCGTCGCAAGCTGCTCAAAGGCCCTGCAATAAACTTCCTTGCAGTCTCCTCTTTCCCGGTGCAGCCCTGTAGAGCTGTCCTTGTGAAGGGCAGGAGTAGCTCTTCAGGCAGGAACATGTTGGGACTATTCCCAGGCCGTATCTTGGAGAACTTTCCCCAAGGGCAGCGCTTCGTGCACGTCTTGGCATGCAGCAACACAACAGCAATTCCTTCAGTAGCCTTTGATACAGAGCCAACAGAGAATATAAAACATATTGCAGAAAGATTAGATTAACTGGTGTAGGAAGGAGGATCCACATAGAGATTCTCTGCACATATTTCTGGAACACATCAAAAAGAAATACAAAAATTGAGGTTGCTTGCAGCAAGCTTAACTGCTTATTGCCTCCGTTAAAGCAGACTCCTTTCATCAGAGGCATAAAAATTTAAATATTGTCATCCCTCTTATCATGGTCAACCCCTAGATTCTTGTTTATTACTTAGCTTAAGTTGAGCAGTTAAAAAAAAAAGACACAACAACAAAGAGAGATCTCTAACACTTATAAAAATACCTAGCAATAGGAGCTACAGAATAGCAATTCTTAGAACATTTCCTTGCAGAAAAGTAAACATTTAAATTATTTAGATAAAGCTTTATGCTCCATGGGATTACTCTCTGTATTTGTGGGTTTGACTCTTCCTTGAAAAGTCTGAATTTTTTCTTGGAAATGCATAGACACATCAGAATTCAAATGAATAATTTGCATTGTATATTAATCATTGCCAGTTGCTAATGTCCAGTATTTAGCTATTGACGAAATAGTTTGCATTTTTCTTACTTCAGGTTTTAATGTGACTCACTAAATTGCTTTGCTATTTTACGTTAAAAAAAAAAAAAAAAAAAAGCTAAAGTTAGAACCAAAAATGAATAAAAATACTCTATAGCATCAGTCTGTGACCATTGAGGAGCTGTCATTTCTTTAAGGTTAATGAACAGAGACAGAAGCTTACCATAATTCCTGCAAAATTAATAGAAATGAAGATACTGATAGGATTGCAAAGCATAAATTTCATATTAGCACTTAATCAAGGTCTAGTATGTTACTTAGGAAAAGTGTAACAAATTAAAAATACACACAAAAAAGATACTTTCCTGGTAAAATATGCATTGTGTGTACAGTATCTCATGTAGTAACACATGTAACAGATATTATGAGGTCTATTTTTTGATGTTAATAGGTCTTATACTTTTATGTTGCCTGTTTTTTTAGTTCCATTACAAACATCTCTCAGTAGCTATCTGAAGAAAAGCATCTTAGTGTAAACAATGGCATATGCAATAGGATATTTAGTTTTGTATTGCTTTTTTTTTTTTCCCTCTGAATTAAAAAATTGGGTCAAGTCATAGTACGATAAAGACAGGGACTTACCATACCAAAAATCACAGTATTCTATTTGTTATAATTGCTTGTGAAGGACTTTTCTTTTGTGATTGATGACCGTTTAGAAACAGTCTCTTTGGTGTCTCCCATTAGATAATATATCCATGATATATTTTTTCTTATTCAAAGAAAACATAACTCTAAATTCTAATGTTGTTACTCTAAAGCACTGCCTGACAGGTAGTAATAATGAAAAGGACAATTAAGTAACTCAGTCCCCTCAAACTGCCTTTTTTTCCCCCCGCCCCTTCCCTTTCTCCTATCTTTTGGTGCAAAATTTTGATCCATCATAAACTTTCCATTAAAAACATATCAGCCAAACTTTCAATGGGAAAAAAGTAGAGTCAGGTATCAGATAGTAAGCCCAAAGCTGATGTCCCTCTTTAGTAAATATTTGTTCACCTATTGTGGCAAGTTCCAAATGCAATCCTGGGCTACACACAGGACAAAGTAACATCAGGGGCATCTTCTAGGTATTCTACATCCTTCAATTAAATTTCTGATCATCCGGCTATCAGGCACCTGTAAGTCCACCTTTTCCAAACACAAGTTTCATCTTAGTAGAGAACAGAAGAATAATGTAGAACATTAGCTGAACATTATCTGGCTAGCCGTGGGCTAAGTGATGTAGCACGGAGTCAAGTGGCTGAACCGTCAGATGGAAGCAGCAGTTCTCCATGCTGAAGGTTGGTGGGTGTTTTATTCCCTTCTGGAAATTATCAGCACTTGCTGCAGCAGTTTTCATACCAGTTTGACAAGGACCGACAGTCTAGAAAAAATGCTCTGCAAGTTTCTTGAGCAGAACGAAAAAACAAGAAGAAACACTTCTGTATCTGTCAAGATACAAATCTGCAACTCGAGACAAGTGATGGAGGTGGATCACTGTAAACTACAGGGGTTCGTTACTGCCTTGAGTGAGAAAAGATCAAGGGCTCATAAACATATGCTACACACAACACATGCAAACCCAGCTTGCAAAATACACTGTGCGAGCCACAACTGTGCCATAAAGTCGAGGGCATCCTGAACCATGGGTATTATTCTTTGTTGCATTAATAAACCAAAATTGTTGCAAGCCAAGCTTCGGGCAGCCACTCTGAGATAGCGCTTAATATTTTTACTTTGCAGATAATGGGTAGTGCTCTCAAATGCAAAGCAAGCTGCATCCCACTCCATGGTTGCCAGACAGCTCATGTTTATGTGAGTAAAGTGAGTAAATGTGTAAGTGTTCATATGGCAGAAAGATTAAAAAAAGAAAGAAAAAACGATAACTGAGTCTCTGTAAAAAAATGCCTAAGGGGTCATACACTTAGGATCTGTTTCTGTTCGTCAAGCATAACTGAACAGGGATCAACTGCCTTTCTTATTTTCAAGAAAAAAAAAAAAAAAAGTTTTCAGTGGGCATTAATTTCCTTTAATTTAGGGGAAAAATTTTGAGTCCTGATATCCAACTGAAAAATTGCAGTTTCAGTGTCTTAAATGAGACATTACTACTCCAAAAATCATATAATCAATAGACAACTGTAGCTCTGTTGTGACTTGTTCACATCCTCCTCTTTCTTGAAAGAAAACTTTTTCATAGCAAATACCTCCTTTTTTTTAACCCACTCATGGTAAAACTGCTGGGCTTTACAATATTTATCACATTAAAAATACAAAGATTGGGGAGGGCAATAGCCTAGTCTTACATTTCTTTGCTGAGCAGAAAATAAAACAGGCTTCTGAAATAATATTATGGTCACAGGAAACGGGTACCTGCTGAATCCTGGAGAGTCTTGTGCACTCCAGAGAGAGCAGGGCTGCTTCCTCCACCCAGGCGAGTGCCTGCAACATCCCTATGGATCCGGGAAGAGTGTTTCCCCCTTCCACCAAGTGAGGATTCGTGTGCCAGCCTGAGATGGCCCTTTTCCAGTTTCTGGGTGAAGAAATGTGTGGTTAGATCTGTTGTCCCCCTGAGTTATCAAACATACAGATTTTTGCCAAAATGCCATACATATCTCATCAGTAACAGCAAAATAGCCTTGGATACCCCCATTTCATTTCTTTAGACATTTGGTCTTCTGTTACATCTGTCTAAAGCCCTGCTTGTCACAGATGGCAATTAGTCCACACAGGGACAACTACAGCCCCCCAGGAAAACGGGGATAAAGTACCCTAATCCAGCTTTCTGTATCTGCTAGCTATAATGAGCAGGCAGGGCAGAAGTGCATTTTATCTTGTTAAGTTCCTTTTTAGCAAATAAGCATGGGCTCAGTTGTCCACGCTTTATAACTTCCTATCCTGATCACCAGAGTATCATGATCAAAGGGAACAAGATAATATTACCCCACTTCGTAACACTAAAGCTCAGAAGTTTATTTTACATATCCACATCTTCCCCCACAGCCAACGACCGTCTTTGATTTTCTTCTATTTCTATAAATTCTTATCTGTGTTTTTTCATTATTTAATGAAATCTGGATTTTCTCATTCACAGAATGAATGATTTTGACTTTAAATTGAGCCACCCTCATCCCAGAAAAGTAAAAAGTGAAACATATGTCTCTCCTGTGGCTTCAAAAATAAACATATATTTTCTCCGTGCCGTGCTAGTATCTCAGGGAATTAGACTACAAACTTACAAGGAATTAAGATAAAAACATTACGCACAGTAGTTGGGGATTTTTTTTTTTTTTTT